GTGGAAAAAAATTCAGCAGCAAAAGACTTGCACTACAGAAACATAAAAGGACTTTCTCCAAGAAAATGAAAATAACATAGTAAAATGTAAATCTAAAAAAAGGAAGTAGAAGACAACAAATAGTAAATACACAGTTAATTTAGAAGATATTTTATGAATTATTTAAATGTTTTAGAAATATAACTGACACTAAAAAACCAAATAGTACGGCATTTACAGCATATAAAAATTTTAAAATATGACAAAAATAGCACAAAGTTTGGGAGAGAGTACATTGGAGTATACTTTGTAAAATCCTTATGCAAAATCAGAAATTATATAATTTTATTTGAAAGTGGAATGGGAAAAATAAAAAAATTACACTGTGAACACTAAAGCAATAACTACAGTAATAAAACAAAGAATTATAGTTAATACAACACAAAATAAATAAAATCAAAAAGTAAAAAATATTCAAAACATAGACAAAGAAGAAAGAAGAACAAAACATAGATAGGAATAATAAATATATATATGAAAGTGAGATGTTTAAACCCCCAAATGTCAACAACATAATGGAATGTAAATGGGGTAGGTGCCACAGTGAAAGGAAAAGATTGTCAGATTGGGTCAAAGTATAAGATTATGGGAAACATACTTTCAATACAAAACTCATGTGAGTCAAATATAAAAGATTATAAAACATATATCATGCCAATGTTTATAAAAAGATGGGCGGGAGTAACTATGCTAAATCAGACAAAGCCGATTTCAAAGAGAAGAATGTTACCAGGGATAAAGAAGATCACTTACTGACGATAAATAAGTCATTTCATCAGGGGGAGAAAACAAGCTCAAATGGTCATGTTACTGAGTCCAAACTCATTCTGCTCACAGGTCAATAAATTTGGAGATAAGGTATCTGGGCAAGAAATAGCAACTTTATTCAGCAGACTAAGAAGATGGAGCACTAATGTCCTGGAGGACCATCTTTCCCTAGCCAGAATTCAGGTTCTTTTTATACTAAAAAGGGAAGAAGGTGTGGTTAGTGGTTGCAAACGTCTTTGTTCTTGCAGCTGTCCATGTAGGTCAGATCATGATGTAAACCTCCAGTAAGGCAAATGTTACTCTCCGTTCTGCAACTTTTTAATCTTTATATTCATGGCAAAATGTTACGCCCTTAAAGGTCAGAGCTTTGAGTGTGGACTATCCTGTCTATTTCAGGCTCAAGGCAACATTCTTTTACAGAAGGTGAAGAACTAGCATGACTGAGCTCAGGAAACAGCACAGGGTTAGAGACAAAGGAACAGACCTAATATGAAGTCAGATTTGTTCTTCCCTATTACAGTCATATGCTTAACTCATGAGCAAAACTCATAAAACTACCCTCCAAAATAGACAAATCCTTAATGATAGTCATGTTACATGTGGCAAAACTAATAAACGACATTGGTACATTGTTGATGCCTAAAATCCAGTTTATTTGGATTTCAAAGACTTTTTAGGGGGAATGGGGTTAATGTCCTCTTTCTGTTTCAGACTTTGATATACTTGAGGGTAATGTCCAAATATCCTGTAGAATGTCCTTCAATTTGAATTTGTTTTATCTTTTTCTTATAATTTTCCTGGGAAGAAATTTTTAAAAGAATCCAACAGAGATGCAGTGCTTTTCTGGTCGTATCATATCAAAATATACATGATATCCACCCGACATCACTGGTGACACTGGTTGTCACTGCTCTTTCAAAGTAGTGTTTGTCAGGTTTCTCCACTGGAAAGTTACTATTTTCCTCTTTCTCTAATATATTTTTTTAGAAGCAAGTAACTGAATCTAGTCCACCCTCAAGGAGTGATGCAGGAATCAAATTCCTCTTCCTGTTGTAACTGAGAAGGACCCTGTGGGGCCTTCCTGGGACAGTCCCCTCCCCATAACTTCTGCTGTAGCTCCTCTCTGAAGTGCCCAGATATAGTGACTCATGTATATTTCCTGGGTGTTTCAGATGCTAAAATCCACCACCAAAGGGAAGAAATTAACTACTTGATAATGGAGAGCATGTGGCCCCCAGACATCCTGGTGCCTAGGGGTTGATAGTGTTGACTGCCCTGTTCCCTTGACATTGACCAATCAGAGGATTGTGCATGAGCTAATCATTCACCCTGTGACACCCCCCCCCAACCTGTCCCTTACATGCTTTTCAATGCCCTTTGCTGAAATCCTTCAAGGAGTTCGGGGTTTTCTTGGGCATGAGTCACTCATCCGCCTTGCTTGGCCCTGCAATCAACCTTTCTCTGCTCCAAATTCTGACATTTCAGTTTGTTTGACCTCATGGTGAAATGCGCACATGAACTTACCTTAAGTAACAATTTTGGTGAGCCAGCGAAGGAGTCTGTGCCCATGGCAGTTCGACCCAGGTCTGGGGCCACCCCTTCCCTGGTCCCAGCAGCAGTCGGAGCTAACTTCCCTCTGGGGAACTGGGAGGGACCCTCTCCGGCAGCACGAGGCTGTTTGGAGCCAGAAAACATCCAGAGCTGTGTCCACACTCGGTGTCACTGGGGGTGAGTGGCTCCAGCCCGCGCAGCCTGGGGCTTCTCTCCTTCCATCTGGGCTCGTTCCCGCCAGGAAGGGGGTCCCTGGGGGTGTGTCTCTTTGGGGAGCTGAGCTGCTCTGTTTGCAGGCCTCCCGTCTGGGAGTGGATGGAAGTTTTCAATGACGCCTCCTCGGATGGGTTGTCTGTGTGACTGCAGCTTATTTGTTGTTTTGTTTTATGTGTCTGGTTTTGGGGTGAGCCACTCTGACTTGCGCAAGATGGAAAATTCTAGCTGCTCCATCTGGGCTCTGTCCCTTGCAAGGAGTGAGCCACTCTGGGTCCTTCCTCTTTTCGGGAGCTGGATGCATCGGTTTGGAGGCCTCAGTTTGGGAGAGGAAGTGGAATTTTGAGACTACACCTCACCTGTGACCTTTTGTTTGTGGAACCATGTCTGTTGTTTGTATGTGTGTGTCAGTACTTGCATGAGCCGGCTGAGACGTCTTTGAGTAATAGGGCTCACATGTGACAACACCAGGGTGCCTCCCTGTTGCATTGGCCTCACCTGTGGCAGAGCGTTGCTCAGGATCTTCCCTTTCTCGAGTCTTGGTTTTCATTCAGTTTTGTCTCTGATGGGCATTGGTTGGGACTCTCCATTTTGGAACCAGGGGACTGTGACCCTGAGAGACCGTTTTGAATTGTTGTTTGCTTGGTATTTGATAACATCAGCCATGAATAATTAAGTATAACTGACCAGAGCTTTCTTCCCGCTTACATACAGTCCTCCTAGAGTGTAACTTGCAAAGCTGGGAGATCTTTGCCTATGCTTCCATAAATTAAAGAAAATGATATTTTTATTTTAACGCTGTGTGAGCTCAATTCTCCCTGAGATCTGGAGAACAATGACGCTCAGGGCTCTGCTATTATATGAAAAGGGACCTTTTGCAATTTGGCTTTTATCATGGGTGTGTGTGTGTGTCTTGGTTCCTGAGTCCAAATCCTGTTCTCTCTTCCTGGTTTTGCCATTATCGTCTAATACTGTTATTTCTTTAAAGTGAAGTGGGTATTTCAGAACAGGAAAAAAAAATCCCTTATACAGAACCCAAGATCTCCATTAGAAGAGGAATTTTCATTTCTTTTTGTGTGACTTTGAAATACAAGTCATCTACCCAGGCTCTCAAGGAAAAAGGGGTTTTTAAACTCAAGCAGAAAAACTGCGATCTCTGTCTCTGTCTTTAAGTAAAAATTAACATGTAGAAGAGCTCATATGATCAAACTTAAGGCTCATGTGACCTAGAAAATAATCAGCATTAAATTAATATCTGATATTAAAGCTACTTTAAACTTGTTGATATAATCAACACCAAAACACATCTTTTATTGCACCTGGATTTACTGAAAGCCAATAGGTTTATGTTGTTTCTTTTCTGAGTTCGACAGCAGGAAGAAAGAAAAAAAGTCAATTAACTCGATATGACAAAGTTCTTGACAAAATTCTGACAAAATTCTTATCAGTAAATTAAATTTAAATAGCATTATAGCTTTTGAGGGAACTCTTTAGTAATAATTCTGTTTTAGGAGTGTCTACTGAAACATGATCTCTCCAAATACTTGGTAACTTGAGATTGGAGAGCTGTGCTAACTGAAGTTAAATAATGGAAGTTTGTTGAATAGCTAGGTCATTCCCAAACAAAATAAGATACTGAAACATAATTTACTAAGCATTGGCTTCCCTTTACAGAGAAACTAAAGGTGATTGGGACTATTATTAAATATGTTTGGTGCCACAATGAGATATTTTGTATAAAAAGCAATATTTTTTGAAATTATTATTGGTATTTATGTTTGCCAATCTGTACAATGCTAATGTAAAATGCATTTTATAATTGCTAACTTCTTTGTGTTCACTAGAAATTAAGGTTTTTAAGAGTTGCAAACTCTAAAGATGTCATTAAAGCTACTAAAATAATAAAGGAAACATTTCAGTACAGTAAAAAAAAAAGTAGGATGTATGTTTTGAATAAAAAGTATGAGCAATGGATGTGCATTTTGTTAAGGGAAAATTTTATAGAAAGGACCCCTATAAAAGGACTTTTGTGTATGGTTGAGGTGTGATTAAATTAAATTTAAGTAGGTAAAGGGATTTTGTTATTGAAAGTAGACTAGTACAGGACTAGATTTGGTTTCTCTCTGTTAAGAGAACAAGTTTACTTAGAATGCTTTTGATTACAGACTGTGTGAAGCTTTGATGTTGTTGACAAACTTCCTATCAAAGTATAATCAAAGTTCTTTTGACTGCAGCTAACTTTAGGATGCTTCAGAGGACCCCTGAGCCATCTCAGAGAAAAATATTGAACTAACTAGGATTGGCTGCTATGGTAAATTACATGACAAAGTCAAAGGAGTGATAAGTCTCCTCAGATTATATGATATGGATAAATGTTATTACTATAGACGTCCTGAAAGTGATGTAAGGTTTCTGAAAGTTAGATACATCCTGGTATAATGCTGTCAGTCATAATTCCAGTTGTTATCTTAAAAGGTTGTATGTCACAGCAACTTGGTCAAACTAGATTAAGTCAAAAATGTTGTAACCAGCTCTTAAACCTTACCTTTTTAAGTGTTTTGTCATTCATAGGTAATTAAGCTGATGATTTGCAAAACTGCTTCATCTTGAATAATATTCATAAAATGGACTTTTTGACAAGTACAGTTTCTTTTAAAAAATACTGCTGAGCTGGATAAGGTACTTGAAAAGTCTAATGAAAACTCTGATTTCATAAAACTATTAGTAAAAATGGTTGATTACATAGGATTGAGTAAACTGGTGAATACGTTTCTGATTTTTTAGTTTTGTCTGAAACATTTCTGGCTTTTAATCTACATTTTCTAGTTGAATTATTTATCAAATGTTTGTCTCTCAATCAGTATTGAAAGTCATTGTTTTACTTCAAAACACCGTATTGCCCCCAGTGTTTAGGCCAGAAAGAGAACTCCCTGATGGAGCTGTCGCAGCACAACCTCTCATGGTGCACAGCAGTGCTTGCCCTGTGTCTGTTGCTAAAAGCACACGCACTATGCTTGTGTAACAATGGGGTAGAAGTGATGAATGTATGGCCTGTAAAGTGTGTCCCCATTAGCATGTTCCTGATCCTGTTCATGACATCTGGTTAGTTTTCACCCCACATGGATAACTAGGCAAATAGAAAGGAACCCCAGCACTGAGGGACGTGCTCTGAACCTGGGGTGGGAGCCCTCACCCCAGCATTCAGAGACTAATATTTTGATCATCAATGTTTTCTATTGAAAGGTTTGCAATCAGAAGGGGAAATGATGGGAAAATCTGCACACACTGAGGTGTGGGGAAGTCATTCTGGCTTATACATAGTTTAACTTAAACTTTACTGATCAAAACTCCCTGTTTTGTGGCCTGTTGGACATGCATTGTACATCTGCTTTGGCCTTGAGGAGGGGAATGCACTTAGAAGTCAAAATGGAGTAGCTGTGGTTCAGACATTCAAGGGAAAACTAGATGGCCTGATATGTTCTTGTATTGTGGAGAACTAGAATTTTCTGAGCTGTGTCAGACTCAAGAGACCACCACCCATGCTCAAAGCAGTGCCTGCTGGCAGCTGCAAACTTATGATCTCAAGGTCTCCTCTTGTAACTATTACATTTTTAGATAGAAAATTTATTTTAGATCAGATGTTAGCAAAAAAGAAAAAAAAAGGTGTGTAATGGCCAATAACTCCTTTTATGTATATGTTGATACCACGTCAGAAGTTAAAACCTACTTACATAAATGTATACAACTGGCTGCAAGTCTCCCCCAGAGTGCCAGGTCCAGACTGGTTTTCAGGCTCATTCTCCTGAATTCCTCAGAGAATTGGGTATTGAGATCTGTTTTGTCTTTTAAAGTTCTGGTTGTAACTCTTCCATCCACTTCTAATTGGGCCTGTTGGCACTAAAAGTGTGGACTAAAGGCCTGGGATCTTAATCATACAAGCCTAGGATCCAGGACTCGAAACTCAGGAATATTTTCAACTCGGTGTCCGTCCCCCAAATTAAGGCAGGACAATGGCCCATTTCAGCAGGAAGTAGCCAGTCATCTCCCTGCTCCCTGAAAGATTTGGGGAAGGAAGAAATAGGATTGGAGATTGAGACCAAGTCCTCCTAAAACCAGGTTCCTCTGCCGAGTTGATGGCTAACCTCTCTGTCCAAACATTATTCCCTTTCTCATCCAACACCTGTTCTCCTCGAGACTGAGAGCTATCAAAGAAAAGGGGGGAACTGTAACATGATCAGGATCCTGTGGAGCCTTCCCAGAACATGTCTCCCCCATGTCCTCTGCTGCAGCTCCTCTCTGAAGCACCCAGAGAATAGTATCTCATGTATATTTCCTGAGTGTTTCAGATGCTAAAAACCACCACTAATGGTAAGAAATTTACGGCTTGATGATCTAGAGCAAGTGGCCCCCTGGTCTTCAGGCACCTGGGGGTTGACAGTGTTGACTGCCCTGTTCCCTTGACATCAACCAGAGGATTGTGCACAGGCTGATACAGGCTGATAAGGGATCCTGTGATCCCCTCCCTCACCCGCCTTTAAATTGGCTTTGCTGAAACCCTTCAGGGTTTTCTTGAGCATGAGTCACCCCTCCTCCATGCTCGGCCCTGCAATCAACATTTCTCTGCTCCAAACTCTGACGTTTTGGTTCGTTTGACCTCATGGTGTGTAAGGCACACAGACTTTCCTTCCGTAAGATTGTAGGTAATAGTATTTACGCACATTGTTTGGAAATCCTCTGTAAGGAAGATTCTTCTCCCCTCCCCTGTTTACATATTCAAAATTTATATCACTATGGGCTCGTGTAAATTTGCTTTGTATTTTGGATTATATTCCAAATCTACACTATTATGTTGCTCAAATTTTTCCAGTTTTGGGCCATGGGGGATTTTTTTCAAATTGGTTCCTGTGTCCCTTTGATATCCCCTCATTCCTTTGGTCGGGAGCATCATCTTAATTTGTGGTACTACAGTCATATCTCTAAAAAGATGTCTTAAAAAAAAGCTATTGATATGTTTTTATACTCCAGTAGGAGCCTTTTTGCTAAAGGTTACAATCAAAGTTCTATTTGATTAAGAGTGTTAATTGTAAATCTAAATAAAAATGGTCTAGACGAATTCTATTTTTCAAAGCCTTGCTTCTTGTATCAATTATTGATAGAAATGTGGCAAAATCTCCCTCCATAATGGCAAATTTGCCAATTCACCTTATCTGTCACTTTTGCATGTTGATTTATGCGTTTTGAAATGATTTTTTCTGCTTAAATAGAACTTTAGAATTTTTAGAGATTGCTCGTTATACTGTTTTAAAACACAGTTGTCTATTTATTAATGTATTCTATTTTTATATCTATCTTTGATAATGTGGCTATTATGTTTACTTCTCCCCCCCCTTTTAGTGTTTAATTAATTAAATTGAGGTAGAATTGACATTCATGGTATATTAGTCTCAGGTGTACAACGTACTGATTCGTCTTTTGTATACGCTGCAAAATGATAACCACAACTTTTGCTTTATTTTGTTAGTATTTCCTACTATGCAACTTGATATCTTTTTATTTCCAAACATTCTCTACTCTTAAGTTTTAAATTTCATTTACTTATTTTCATTGAGAGTTTAATTCATTTTTATTCACTATAGTTTCTCATATGGTGGCATGAAATTCTACCATCACGCTTTGTGATTTCTATTTCCACTTGACTGCTTCTGTTTCTTTAGGTACTTACATTTTGTATGTTTCAACATGGGTGTCTAAGTCTTTTTTCTATTCTATTAGATCATAATCATAGCTTTGTCTATTACTTTAGCAGTTACCTTAGAAACTATAAATATTTAAGTAAGCAATATCTATTTTAATCAATAATTCATTCCACTCCAAAACAAGAAAAATATATGAAAGTACTCTAATCCTAGTATTCCTACCAATTATTTCAGTGTTTTAGTTGTGTCTTATTTCTTTGTGCTTATAAACTAGATATTACAACTATTGCTTTACAATATTTCTGTTTATTCATATTTACCCTAATGTCAACTTTTTTTTTTTTTTGCTGAGCATTCCTCCTTGAATTTCAGCTTTCTTTCTAGAATCAATTTCCTTTTTTCTAAAATACATTTATTGGAAATTTTTAAAATGGAGTGTTGGGAAAATGAGTTCTTCTTTCCTGAAAATACTTTTCTTTTTGCTGTCATTTACAATATAATCTCCCTGCTTATATTAGTACATTAAGAGTTATTGAACAGTATGCATCCATCTTCTGGAATGATTTGGCAAGAATAAAAAAATTCATGATAGTGAGCATGTGAAGTTTTATAACTTCAAAAATCTGTTTAATTCATTGTTGATCATTTATTAGAACTGAAGATATGCATCCTAAAGATATATAAATATGCAACAAAGAAGAATAAAATAATTTAAACTTTTACATGGAATTGTTATCTGTAATAGCCAACGTATGGAAACAATCCAATGATATATTTATGTGGGTGGTTAGGATCATTACTCCCAATTATTTACTGACCCTTCCTGTAAGAGAATAACACATATCTTTCCTCTTTAATTTTCGGTGTGGATGTATGAATTGCTTGAGAATGGAAGTAAGATACAGAGAAAAAAATAATTGTTGTAATGCATGGAGATTTGGAGGTTGTTCCACTCAGCATCTCTCTTGTACACAGACAGAAGGACTCCTTTCTTAAACACCACATATTAGAAGACCCAGCATAAGAAGAAAAACAAACGTAATATTTTGGAAAAGACTCTGAGAACTTTGTCACTTAGAATCTTGCGACAAACCCTGGCACAGCATAATCTGTAATTCTAAACACCAGCGTAATAGGTAACAGAGATCAGTGCTTCACACAAATATGACCATGTCTGAATCTATAAAAGTTTGTGGTTTGCGTAACTACTAACATTACAGTCAAATGTTGCTTTGGAGTGAGGAGACGTTGAATGGCAGAGGTGTGCAAGTGACAGCAAAACCAAATTAATCCACTTGCCAGGCTCTTCCTCTTAGATATTAAAATGCAAAGAAGTATTATTTCTAACAGTAGCAAACATCCAGTTCCTAAATTTTCTTCTGGTTTTCTTTGTGCTTTCGAAGGAAGTCAAAAATTAGTATAGTATTGAAAAGTTTAACACAGAGACCAAGGAACATTTTGCAATATTATGATGAATAGTGCTTTTAAACATATATGTATGGAGTTCTAAATGTAACACGCATTAACTTTTCCCTGCACACTTAAAAATTTACTTCTGCATCAGCTGTCACCATCTATTTATAAAAAATATATTAAAATTATTTGTTTTCTCTCACTTCTTTCCATAATAATTTCTCTTCTTTCTGCCTCCATCCCTCATCTATCATCTATAACTTACCAATATAATAAAACACTTGTCATAACAGTGGCGGTCTACTAGTGAAAGGAGATGGATTTTTGTGATCAGTATATTCTCAAGTTTGGCGGGGTGTGGGTATAGCTCAAAGGTAGAGTGCTTGCTTAGCACTGGGTTCAATCCCCAGTACCTCTTTAAAAGAAAAAGAAAAAGTATTTTCAAGTATGTGTGGTTTGTTAGTACTTTCTACTTATCACCATATTAATCAATTAATTCATACAAAAATTTATTTGACATGAAATGAATATCAATTATAGTCCAGCCATTGGAATATACCTGAGATAAAGGCTGCAAGCAAAAAACCACATGACTTCAGGGGATTGGGAAGGGGGGTGACATTAACGAAAATTCCTCCTGTGTTTATATTTCTTCTTCATTTTTGGAGGGTAATTTCTGTGAACATAGTATTCTTGGTTGCTTTGCAGTTTTTTTTTTTCTTTCAGTACTTTGAATGTACAGTCTTCTTTCTTTCTGCAAGGTTTCTACTGAAAAATCCACTGACAGTCTTACAGGGGATTCTTTGTTCTTGATGAGTTGTTTTCTCTTGCTGCTTTCAAAATTTTCTCTTTGTTTTGGGCTTTTGATTATTTGGTTACGTGTGACTCAATGTGTTTGTTAGGTTCACCACAGTTGAGCTCTACTGGGCTTCTTGAATCTGGACGTTCATTTCCTTCCCCAGATTTAGGAAGATTTCAGTCGTTATTTATTCAGTTAAGCTTTCTGTTCCTTACTCTCTCTCCCCTCCTTCTGGCACTTCTGTAATGTGTATATTGATTGTCTTACTGGTGTCCCACGGATCCCTTTGGTTCTCTTCACTCCTCTTTTTCTTTTTTTTTCTTTTTGTTCCTCTGTTTGCATAATGTCAAGTGGTCTACCTTTAAATTTCTCTTCTTTTGATCCAGTCTACTGTTTAATCGCTCTAGTGAATTTTTCAATTCAGTTACTAATTACCAACCCAACAATTTCTGTTTGGTTCTTTTTCATATTTTATCTATTTGTTGATATTCTCATTTTTATGCATCATTTTTCTGAGTTCTTTGAGCATCATTATGACAGTTATTTTTAATTATTTGTCAGGTAATGTATGTATCTCTGTTTCTTTGTGGTCAAATTCTGGAGATTTATTTTCTTCCTTTAGATGGGCCATAGTTCTCTGTGTGCCCTGTTACTTTGTGTTGGGATCTGCATGCTTGCAAAAAACAGTCACAGCTTCTAGTGTTTACTGACATTTTTTTTTAAACAGGAAAGCTATTCACCAGTTGATTCAGCTAGAAATGTGGGGAACCCCTCAACCTTTTCTGTGTATTCATCTTTCCTGGAGTTTTGCATGTGAATTCCTAATTAGAAATGATTTACTGGTTCCCTTTTTTCAGTACCCTGTAGCTCCTGCCCTCTCTGATGTCTGTCAGCAGACCCCAGGCACCTAGAACATGCAGGGACCCATCAGTGCTCTGAGCCTGGTGAGACAAAAAACAGTCCCTTGGGCAGTCACCATAAAGCTGGAATGATGGATCCACACTCCACCCTTCCCTGTCCTCTCTAAGGGAGAAACCATCAACCTGTGTCAGCCTCTAGCTGCTGTACGGTGGGTCCTTTGGGGCAGCAGTAAGTGGTCCAGCTTTGGTTGTTGTTATTCTTGAAGGTCCTGTAGCATCTCTGTGTATGTGAGGTCCTGTCAGCACTCTAAGCCGGAAGAACCAGAAACCAACCCCTTGGTAGCCCTCCATGAAGCTGGAGTGTCAGGTGCAGGCATGTTTCATTCAAGAGAGAGGGCCTGGAGCTTTCTCCCTTGGGCTCTGTGCTGAGCTAGGGGAGGGGCAGTGGTGAGCCAGTGCACGAGCAATGGGTTCACCCAGTTCAAGCTGTCACCTTTTTCTCAGTGACCCCCAACCTGGCACTCTTTCCTGTGAGCACTTCTATTGAAGCAAGACAGAAACCAGTCCCTTGGGTAGCCTTCTGAAAAGTCGGAATGTTAGACTTGGTTTCAGACTACTCTTTCTACACCCCCCAACCCAAGAAGCAGCTAAGAGTTGGGAGTTTCCTTCCGACTGTGTTGGCAATGAGCCAGGTGGAGGGGCTCTGGCAAGTTTTATTGCCGTGGATTTTCCTGCTGTCTTTGATGCAGCTGGTTTCATGCTCCCCTGAGGTGCAAGATACTCTTAACTGTTCAACAGATTTCTCACAAAGGGTTTGGATCTGCGTGTTGTTGTTGAATCAGCTGAATCATGGAGTTCAATCTCCATGATGGAAGGAGTGTGAGCCATCTTTCTGGCATCACCCCCAATTAATGGCTAATATTGAATCATATTTTACCTGATATATTTTCTTGTGGTTAATACAATTTGGAGGAAAATACAGCGTGCATCTGTAGCAATATGGAAAAGAGAGATGACTAGTTAATAAGAGAATGAGTAAGAGAAAGAAAAAGAGAAGGAAAGAGAAAGAATCTGGTTAAACAAGTCTACTTGCTTAGACTTCCAGCATCCAAGCCAAGGGGTTTAGAAGCAGGCAGTTTTTAGTTCCAGACAATAACTGGAGGGCACATCATGGCCCCATGAAGTTGGCAAGAAGTTAAACTTTTAAACACATCATGTGTTCCAAGATATGTCATGTCATGAACTTGTTTTAAAACAGAAAGATTAAGAGCAAATCCTTAACTGATGGATCAAAACCTAGAATTATATAATATATTTACTGATCAGGAATATTTCAATAAATGGTTATGGAAAGCCTACAGTTTAACATGTTTATTATATCTGAAGTTAAGAGTAACTGTCAGGTTGTATCATTATTATGATCAACATAAATTTTATGCTTAATTTTCAGGCTGAAATGTAAAATTTTAGAAGTTTGTTTAACCAAAAATAGATGAGTAAATGCAGTGGACACATCAAGAAGTTACAAATAATAAAATGAAGCAATAATAGTGAAATTATTGAGAAATGGAAGATCCTTTCATATATTCTGATACCTTCACAGAAGTTAAGGCTCTCAAAGTCACGGTGCTGTTACTTGAGAATAAAATATAATGAGATTAACCTTTATCTTCTAGAAGAGATTGTCTGGTAAAAAGCAGAGATTTCAGTTGAATTTTGGACTGCTTGGTCCTGACTTTTACTTACTGTGATCTGGAAGGCAAGATGGGGCACAAGGGAATTAAAATTATATTCTACTTTAACTTCATCTGACTATTTGCTGCAAAACTAAGATTGCTAAACCTGATGAGATCTATGTCAAAGTTAGGGTAGATTTTAGTAGTAAGTCACAAGGTGGTCTATAAATCAATTACATCTGTGATGAGAATCCCAGGGATTATTTTAAAATGTGGTGATCTGAGTCTTTCTCCAAAGACTTCTAAATTGTGGGTTGTACTGGAATAAGCAGGGAGGGGGAGGCTACAAAATTTCACACCAAAAGGTCCCCTAGATGAAAACCTACATTTACAGGTGAAATGAAGTAGTTCGTTGCATCCAATATTCCAGTCAATAAAATTAAGAATACTCAATAGAGTATATGTTGGCTTTAAGTCATCTGAAAGGTCTGTCATTGGGACTGTAACTGCTATAAAAGTAGAGAAAGGAGAACCTCATGGAGGGGATCAGATTTTTGAAGCTATTTTCCCCTGGAGGCATTTGCTGATTTGGTTATGGGCAAGGAACTGAGGATCTAAGCACAGAATTATACATACAGGAAGGGAGGGTATAGCTCAAGTGATAGATGTATGCTTAGTATGCAGAAGGTCTTGGGTTCCAATCCCCAGTACCTCCTCTAAAGGTAAATAAATAAATAAACCTAGTTTCCTGCCCTCCCCCTACAAAATATAAAAACTATATATATAGAAGCTGGGAAGACAGAGGGATATGCTGAGTTCTGGACAAAAAAAATGTGAGAACCTCTAGGATATAACTACTTTTTTTGTCAATACAGTTGCTGAATTCAGGCAAAGAAAGCAGCCTAAAGTTGACTTAGCAAAGTCTCTAATCTTATCAAATGTTCAGAAACCATATTACCTGCCTAAAAGAAGAGTCAGCCAATGAGGGAGATAATATCATTTGAGCCTCCATAACTTTTATATACAGTGGTTTCCATGTAATAGAATCACCAGGCTTGCCAAAAGACAGAGAAATCTAACTTTTTTGAATCAAGAGTATAAACAGACAGTATAAAGAAATTTGCAAGAAATTCACCAGACATTCATGTAAGCTAATTAGGACTATAACAACTGTGAGTAATATAATCTAAATATATAGAAAAGGTAGAGAAAATAGGAGAAAAATGAAGAAAGTTAGATACTTGGAGAATTATGATCTACAAACATTTGATAATTGAATAATGCTTTACAAAACTGGAATCTACAAAAATGCTTAACAGAAATTCTAGACATTATAAGTACAATATATAAAATTAAGTTTCTATTAAAACAGTTTAAACACACTTAGCCACTATATATAAAAATAGATAAAAAATTCTTCTGTAGAGCACAGGGAACTATATTCAATATCTTGTAATAACCTTTAATGAAAAAGAGTGTGAAAACGAATATATGTGTGTATATGCATAACTGGGGGCCTTGTGCTGTACACCAGAAATTGACACATTGTAACTGACTATACTTCAATAAAAATTTTAAAAATAGAAAAAAATTAAAAAGCAGAAGCATTCTAGAGATAATAAACATTATAATGATAAAAGAGCCAATCCTCTATGAAGGAATTGCTGTTATAAATCTGCAAGCATAATCTATATAAAGCAAAACTTGGCAGAATTTAAAAGATAGCGGTACGACCTAACACACTTGTCTTCATAGCTAATTGAACAACCAGAAAATGCATCAGTAAGAATACAGTGCATTTGAAGAACATAATTAACCAACTTCCCCTACTTGCCTAAGTGGAACACACCACAAATCAATTTTGAAAATGGCTTGGCAGTAATAACTCCAGCTCCATGCCTGCATAGCCGGGGACCTCGCTCTTCCACTCCTAGGAAGACACTCTGCAGAATATGTATATTTTTTTCACCAAAGACGTGCCCTGGGATGTTCACTGATTTGTAATAGCGAGAACCTGGAAACTCCCCAGGAGCAGAATGGATAAATGATTGTAATCTATATTTTCCCAATTGATTATTACCTGGCAGAGAAAATGAAGGAACTGTGGCCACTCAGCCATCTGGATAACTTGAAAATAGGATGTTGGGGGAAAGAAGCCAGATTCTGAAGTGTATCTACTGTATGATTTCACGGATATAAAGATGAAAAACCTGGAAGAACCAATCTCTGCTCTCAGAGGTCCACAGAGCTGTTATCCTTTAGCAGGAGATGCCCAACGGGCCCCGTGGGGGCCACGGTTGTACTAGTAATAGGAGTGCTATTCTTGACCTGCGCACTGGCTGCAAATGTGGAAAAAGGGCGAACCCTTGATAGGTACAATTTTCTGCATGGGTGTCATACTTCAATACGCTATTCCAAATCCTACACGTTATAAACTGACTATACTTCAATAAAAATATACTTAAAATATGACAAAATCTAGAAAGTTAATGGAATTGTCACTGTTTTGTCGAGCCCTCTCCTCCCTGCCAGCTTCAGCTGGAAATAACTTACTCAGTCTTTATCCCATCATGTCCCTGGGTGCTGATTCCAGATGCTGGTGGGTGACTCAGAGCCTCACATTGTGTCTTTATGGGAACCTTGGACACTAAGGCAAGAGCTTCTGTGTGGGGTGACTAGCTGTGCATTATGGGGAGGGAACTCGCCTGAAAATAGGAACGGGACAGAAGGAGTACTGAATGAAGAGGTTCAGACCCTAACAAATTTGTGCCAGATGGCTCAATTTCAGTTTGGTTACACTGGGGCTGTATTTCTCCGAATCCCCTTCTGTATATAGCACTGGGTTACAGTTCACTTAAGATGAAGTCGAGCAAGATTTAGGAGGTGGAAGGAAGCAGCAAAAATTCTGCTTTATCGGTTAGGGGTGGTGAGAGACAGATCCTCAGAACACAAGGAAGCAATAACTGTGAAGAGCTACTAGCTTTCTTTTCCCTGGTTTCTGGGCAATAACTACTCTGGCTGGACGTTGCTAAGCATCTGATTTACCGACAGTCTCCAGGAAAGCAGGCTTTGTTGCACCAGGGTGGAAGAATGTTACGTCATCAAAACTAACTAATGCTACGGCATTCATTGATTAAACACTTACTTAAATTTTTTGTTTCATGAGCTACCTTATATTTAATAATAAATAATAGTTTTTTAAAAAGATTTTAGGGGATTTTTAGGACAGTGGAAATACTACATATGATACTCTATTTGTGGATGTATGTCATTATACATTTGTCCAAACCAGTAGAAGAGACAACACCAAGATGGGACCTTAATGTCAACTACAGACTTAGGGTGAAAATGATGTGTCAGTGTATGTTCATCAGTTGTAATAAATGTACCACTGTGGTGGGGGGTAATGAAGAAGTCTATGCGCGTGTGGGGGCAGGGGGTACGTGGGAGATCTCTGAATCTTTCTCTCAATTTTGCTGTGAAACTAAAACTGCTTTAAAAAACAAAGTCTTCAAAAGTAACTTTTGATAGTTTTAGAAATCACTCTTCTTTCTAAACCTAAGTAGTTCATCAAAAGTAACATGTTAAATGTAAGGAGTTCTTAACCTTTTAACCATTACAAATTTCTCAAACACTTGCTCATTTAAAAAAAAAAGGAATGAATAAATATGAATTCTAATTCACATTTTGCAAAACAATTTCAAAATTAATTTCATTTTGAGAAAACCTTTCCAAAGATGGTAACCAATTTAAAGTATTTCAAAATGTATATTGTGTAAAATACTAGAGGAGTATGCTTCTCTTCAGTTTTATCAATTACAAAATAGATTGTATTAAACCATTATTTGAACTGGTTGTATAAATAAATGGATCCCTTAACTTTTTGCAGTGTTCCTCTCTATACCAATGTAACATCTGTGTCCCTATCTGAAAATGTGGTCATGGAATATGACATTTACCTCAGGGCAATGGTTCTGTTCCATTTTATGGCTACAGCTTAGGTGTCAGAAGGTGAACATGAGAACCATAAAGCATTTCTCATCCAAAAAGGAAGGTCAAATTTATGATCCAATGTAAATCCTCAATCAATTGGAAATACCAAGAAATACAGTCCTTACGTATAGGCCATTTTTTTTTTAAACTTAGATAGAAAAACAGGACTATGGTAAGATCAAAAGTCTTTGGGGAGAGTCTGTATACTTCACAACTTCTAATTTTGATAAAGATCACATGTGATCAGTAACATTTTCATTTTTTCTGAATCAGCCTGACTCAATTTTCTCTTGTTATTGTACACAATGATATAACTAATCATTTTCAACGTTTCAAGTTATTGAAATATTAACCCACTTAGTTTTATTACCTCCCTTAAATTCCACTTGGATATGTAATATGTCAGGATAGTATTATTTCTCCAAATATTATGAAATTGACTTAGATATTGTGTTCCAGATTGAAATGAGGTTTCTCTTTGATACAATAAACCATTACTAAGTGTCTAAAAGAGGCAGTATGTTGTAAGGTATAATGAGCTTTTCTAACTTTAATAACATATTGCCTTAGCATATTTTTATATCAGATGATCAAGGAAATATGTATAATTACTATCCAATGTGTTTTACACATGCGTCTTTAAAAAATATATCTTGGCTCTTTAACTTAAATGTTGAAAGAAGAAATCATATGTTGTTTTCTAAATTCATTCGTACATCATTTAAAGAATACCCTAGTTCTGAAACACTGGAAAGGAAATAGGTAAAATTTGGTGGTAAATATTTTCAAGATGACTTTGTGATGGAGTACAAATTGCAATGGGTGGAGAGACTTAAAATCTGACAAATTCTGGGAATGGAGGTACACACAGCAAACAAAATATAGTTAAAGTGGCTTCCAAACTCACACGCTCTCCGGAATGCCAGAAGCACTGTTTATTTCTTCCTTTTTCCCTTTATTGAACACTGTCCCCAGATGATGTTGTCCATGGTATAAATTAGACAGACAGTTTATTGAATCTGTCTTTCGTCCATCTTCTATAACACACAAGGCATCACTTTCAAGGTGTCACTTTGGAGGAATAAAGGCAGACTAAAGCAATATTTTAAGTCTGGGTAAAATATGGTTTGGAAAACTGCCAGTACAATATTATTGGAAGAGCTCAGCAAGATCCACAGCATACTGGATGCAATTTTCATGCTGAATATTGGGTCAGTTTCTTGATTTGCATAAAATCCTGGGGAATAGATACATATCACTCAGGAAAAAAAAAATGGGGGCTTCAGCATAAATTTATTCCATTCAGTTTATGTTTCGCCCTTACTAACATCATTATCTCCAAATTATGGTACATGCAGACCTTTAAATTTTTGCTACATCATGGCACCAGAAGAAAGACACACAATGGTGAGACTGGAGTAATTTCCTCATCTTGCGTATTTGATAATTATTACAAGTTAGGCTATATACACTCTACATTTATAAGAAGAGTTTTAAAGTTAACCTTACAAGAAATGGGATGAACTAGTTTCATATCCAGTCATAGCAGGTGACACTTCCATAGAGACAGAGATTGCAGGGAAAGTGACTATGTTACCCCAAAAGGTAAAGACCCCAGTTCTTATCACACCTGAAAGATAAGTTTGCAGTCAGGAGATGGTGCATTGTGTAGCAAAAAATTTTTAAAGATTTATTTAAAAAAAAGAAAAGTGCACCTCCAAGAATGGGAGGTGGGCTGATCCAAGGGAGGAAAATTGACTGTTTTTGTCTCCTCCTTCTCTTATACCCTCTCTTAGAGATGGCCTCTTGATTGATTGACAGCTCTTGTCCCTCAGTAATGTTTGCCCCCCTTTGCACATGTCTTTAAGGCATACAGAACAACCCATGGGGGGCCTAAACCACAATGCTAATTATGATACGATGACCACTGGGTCATGTCTGGTTAAGTCCTTTCTGCTACTGCACAGTCGTGGCTGTCAGGTTCTAACGAGTTCCTTGCTGGCGCTCATTTAGAGGAAGTAATGTCCCTTTGTGCTGGAGGCAGCCACAGTGCCATCTTCTGGACCCTCCTCGCCCTCCTCCCTCTCCTCCCACTTTCCCTTCCCCCAATGTGAAAGGTTACCACTGGTTATGCATATTGCAATTTCATGAGGTTATAGGAAAAAAGTCAGCCAAATATTGTTTTGATTGTATTGTAATCAGTCAATACAATAGAAGAAAAGAAAAACTAACATACTGGCATTATACAGAACAATAAAAGAAGAGTAAATATCAAGGTTGAGAATCATAGAAATGCAAACGGAGTTTCTAGCAAAATGTCAAGATATTCAGGATTAATGATAATTCAGGCCTTCCAAAAGGACATTTGTTTGCCAAAAACACATTAATAAACACACAACAACAATTTTATTACAAGGAAATACTAGTATAATTATTTGAAAGGCCAAAATATGCCCCTTCAAAGCAAATCCCTGAATACAAACAAATGCTATCCCAACTTTATACCCACTTCATATCAAATTTATATAAAAACAAGAAAAATAATTCATATAACTTTGATGGCTGTATTTTGATTGTACATGTTTAATGGAACATATTCCAAGGGCAACAAAACCCACAAAACAATCTTAGACTTTATTAGTAATCTTGTTGTCTGGATGGTATTTATTTTGTCATCCTGAAACCATTTCCTCTGTACTGTGTAAAAGTGTGAAATGGACAAATATATTGATATTGTTGGAAGCCATAATTTTTGCTGAGAAAGAGAAAAGGTTGAAGTATTGTATCTGAAGTTGAAGCATCATTATGAGATAGGTATCTATACATCTATATAGATATTTATGTCATGTTCTAAAATTAATGGGGTTATGCCAAAAAGAAAAGGCCAGTTTGAAAGAACTAGTACTACCCTAAGTTTGGGCATTAAGAGTAATAATAATAATAATAATAAGTTAACATAGTTAATAATGATTTTAAAAAATCTATCATTCTATACTTATACTCAATAAAAGCAGAAGAAGGAGAGGAAGAGGAAAGTTCTTCTTTAAAAAAATGTCAATTAATTCATATATAAGGGCTAATAAAATGAGAAATCCCAATGTAAATACTTGTTTAAACAACGGTCACCAACAGATGTTAAAACCACGGGGTGAAGGATTGCTGGTGGAACGCGATTTGTCAGCCTTAAATTCCTCTGTCCATCTCTAAGGATGGTTGTGGGATTCTGTTTGTTGCATAATTCCTGGAGCTCTGTTCTACAAAATTGTTGAACAGTTTAGAGGTGGTCAGAAATGTTAGCCTTCATAATGAGCAGTAGTTAGAATGGATGTATTTCAACAGATTTCAACTAACAGGTTCATCTGTATACTTACTCAAGTTAATTTGATATTTATTGAAAGTCTGCTTACATTCCAGGCATAGTACCTAGTTTGGGAACATACAGATTAACTAGATTCACGTCCAGATCTTAAATTGCTCAGGTCTAGGGCAGGAACCTCCACTCTTCACGTATAAACAGCTAAGAGTATCAGGGAAGCACAGAGCTGGATATCTTTTGTGAGCACTGAGGAAAAATCAAAGAGGTTTCTTTTAAAAAACAGAAGCTGAACTGAACTATAAAAGATGAATAAAATGGGCTAATTAAGAGAAAGAAGTACAGGTACAGACATTGAAGAT